GCTTTTTCCTCCGTTTCAACGAGAGTTTCAGACATACGAGAGAGTGAAATATTAATAATTAATCAAAGAATTAATGTTGGTTATTCAATTTCCCCACTTTTGGAATAATTAATTGAATAGCTTTTGCACACATTTCATCTCTTTGACTCTCATACAGTTTCTCTCTCTCTCTCACTCCCTCTCCCTTTTATGATCTGTTTCTCTATCTACAGCGTAGTATTTATAAAATATTCGGTCAGTTTTCATGAAAACTATAACTTCAATTTACCGTCGAACAAAAGTTCGAATCGCGCCAGTCAATTGTGATTTGTTTTGCATGGCTTACATCATTTTTAATATGAAGTTATTCGCTCGTCAGTTTGCCATTTATATTTAAACAATAAATCACAATTCAAATCGAATGAAAAAAAAAATGCGGAAAATCTTGTTTCAATCGGAATGTGGAAATCTTTTGCGTTCGCCAGCTATTTTTGTAAACGAATAATTCTTGGACTAAATGACCGGTCATTTCGTAAATGAGAATTGGAAATGAAATTTTATGTTTAACAATCAGACTGAAATTGATGTTTTCGACACGATGCATATGTTCTCTCTTGGTTATGTTAAAAAAACGACCATTTCCCCAAACAAAACATCATTTCATCGAATGAGAGTTAAATAAATAGCCGCTTCGCAAAAATAAAATGTTAAATTCACTATCGTTTATCGATTACGACATGATTTCCTCCCTTCATTTGTTTTTTTTTTTTTTTTTTTTTTTGTAAAAAAAACTGTTCATTCATAGCAATACATTTTCCCAATTATGGATAGTTTTCGGCATATTGACATGTGCGAACATCGGTACAAGAGAAAAAAAAAGTTGAAATAAAATCTGCGCAAGAAAGAAACGCCAGTAGATTCAAGTAATTGTCGATAATTCAACAATTTCTATATGCGCGTTCATTTTTTACCAACTATAGCAAACAGTGCATTGCACGACCACATAACGATCGCGTATATACACACACATACACTACCAAAAAAATGCGCGCACAGAGCGCTTTGTTTGTTTCGCATTCAACAAAATAAGACACTTGCATACAAATCACAAATTTTACACTTTAAATTAAATGGTTTTCCCGTAAACATAAATCGATTGCATTCGATTTCTTTCTCTCTTTGGAAAGATATCATGGAACAGACGGTGTGAGAAAACAACGGATATTTGTGTATTCTGTTGCTTGAATATGCAAGCGAGCGCACGAAGGCATGCTAACAAACAACATGATTTTTTTTTTCAATATTGATGTGAACTACTTTGGTGCATTTGATAGAATGTGTGAAGAACGAAAAGATAAAAATATCCAGCAACAACAACAACAGCAAAAACCACACCAATTTCAAAACAGTGATGAAAATGTTCACGAGCTCATATTTTGTTGGATGGAATTCACTTTGCTTCGGTGTGAAGAAAATACTACAAAAATAACGAAGACAAACGCTGTGAAAATGTGTTAGAAATTGGCAAACGATTTGAGATACTTGTTACATGTTACAGTAATTTCGTGTGCATTTCCTCTCTTTCGCCCAAATCATTCAGTGCAAGTCGTTTCAGCGCTGCTACTATTTATTTGGTTTTTATTATAAATTTTAACCACGTAGCTGTTTACTACTACAATTACCGTCAGCCACAACGACATTATCGCACATATGAATCTATAGACTGGTCTAGTTGATGTTTGGCCATCATTTTGTTGAACGTTTTGATAATATATCAGTAGAAAATTGTTTCTGTTTTCGATCATGAAGGAATATAAAAAAAAATGTTGCTTTGAATAGCAAACGATATGAGATTGCATCAGACAGTCTATTTTGCAGTGTTTACGTGTCGGTTAAAACATGAAATTGGTGCACTTAATTTGCGTGCATTGTGTGGAATAAAATCCATTTTCATTAGCAAACTTCCACCGTAAAGCGTTTCCAAACATATTGTTTCGATGTGTTTTGTCTATCTTACTGTATCAGTCGTTCTTCTCTCTCTCGCTCTGCTTTTCTCGTTCTTGCATTCACCTCATGCTCAGTATCGTACTACTCTTCCCATTTTTTGTTTTCATTGTTCGCGCACCGCTCATTTCATGTTAGGCATTTTAACATGACGGTAATGCACGATGCTCGATGCAATCGTTAATGCAACGCAAGAATGAAATAGAGTACAGATGAAACAAACATTAAGCTGGAAATTCATTCGTTGAATTTGGTTGTTGTTGTTGGAATTGCTTTGCTTGTGGCCGTATTTGTATATGTACAGTTTTATGAAGGTGTTTAGAGAATCAAAACCCCGATCCATTACATGCGAAACTTGCACTTAGCGAAACGAGAGTTTATTTGGAACAATACCATGTACGGTTAATTATGTGGTTTTTGTTCCGAAACGAATGAATGAACGAGCGCAGCAGCTCAATCTTGTGATTACGTGACGAACCAAAATGAGCAAGGAAACCAATGCCGAATTTTGTATCTTTTTTTTATTGAATATTTGCGCACACAAATAATCAAATGTTTATTTAAATGCCGCTTTGTTCTGCCGCCAGAATATTATTTGACGTCACTCAACAAGTCGATTGTTGTTATTGTCTCATTATTTTTGATGTTATTTGAAATGAGCATTAAGAATACTCAAATTCATGAGCGTAACCATTAATCAAAGTGCCATATGGTAAATTCATTTCGCCATGTTTTCATATTTTTCGATTTCCATACATTTCAGATATTTTTTTGCCGTCTCGTTGGCAGTAAATATATAAAGCATTCTGGTTGATTTGCAAATATGAAGCATTGGAACAACTTTGAGCTGTGATAAAACAAATATTATATCGTCTTTTTTCTCAAAACAAATTAAGAAAAGAAGCTTAAATGCGAAAACAAGTATCAGTCTGGCGTACTTATGCAAAAGGCGAATGTTTTTTTTTTGTGGGGGAGATAAACAATGTCCTTGTCAATTTATTCGAATGCAATTTATGTATTTGTATACCGCAAGCGAGGGTCTTGAACTTACATCGCAAAGAAATTAATCCCACGTAATAAGTTTCAAAAATGTTTTCATTTTTTTTTCGCCGCTGTTGTCAGAAGTAGGACCATCGAAAGAAAATGCTATTTTTATTATGTCATAATATCAAAACAGACATTATAATGCGCATCGTTGTTTATTCGGTTGGGGAAAGTGTGTTTTTTCGGTTGTTTTGACATTGCCTCGGAATTTATGTTTCTTCTGAGAGTTTCGGTATGTTTGGTCCGTGACCGACGCACAAAATGACAACATTCGCGTAGCAAAGAACAGAGAGTTGCAGCACACGAAATAAACATAGCGAGACGGAATGCATTGAGTCCTCCTCGTAAATACTGTTTATTTTTGTTAAAAAATTGTTGTTGTTGAATGTTTTTAACTTTATATTCAGTTTCGTGTTTTTCTACAAACCACGCTCAGTTAATGCGAGAGGAGCGTACGCTATGGACTTTTCAAGAAAGAAAAAAATAAAACAAAAAAAAAAGAGTAAATGCAGACAAACGATGCAACCGTACCGAAATTATGCCCAAACTGTCACACTGCTAGCGCCACGACGGATTACAATGTAATCTACACTAAGTTGCCGCCAAATAGTGAAAAGACTTTTGCTCAGTTGCAACCAACGGACTAGAGCTCCATAGTTGTCCGTAGTGGCGCTAGCAGTGCTACAGTTTTGCATTTTATACAGTCTCTTATGGGGCATAATTTCGGTGTGGATGCAACTATACTATAACATATATTTTAAAGCGCTTGCTTTTTGAATGGCTCGTGAAGACGTGGTCAAACAAATGAGCAAATTTTTTTATTCATATCATGTTCCTGTCTCAATATGATGTCGCAGCAACTTTTCGCTGTCACTTTCTCTCATTTGTGCTCTTTATTTTGTCTCAGCCAACCAACCGCTCATCAGTCCAACCATCTCATTATTTTCAGTGGCGCACATTTGTATTTTCCTCTCTAACGCGGATTAATTGAATGTAGTTGTACATTCTTCGCCGTCACCTTCGTTACGCCACAAGTTTACTGATTCAATATGCATTCCTCGAATGAGCCGCAAATTGACAAGATATGAACACCATTTTTTGTTGTTGTTGTTGATGATGTGCTCTTCATCAGCATTGCGTATATGAATTACTGTTGAGTGCAAACATTCACTGTCGCTTTATGACTTTCGTTCGTCTGGGATCATTGAAACCTCAACATAAACAAGACAAAAAAAATCCAGCGAAGAAAGACGATTTGTTTCGTATCTTTCACATGCGCATTCTCATTCAATAAAAAGATGAAACGTGTTCAAACGTATATTTATCTCTCTATATTTCTCTATTTCTGAAAATTATTTGGAATGCGATGCGACTTTGGTGCGCATAAAATGTGAAAAACAAAATAAATTACATCACACAAAAACCGCATAATGCTCGCACACACGATAGAGATAGACAGAGGAATAGAATGCGATTGTGGAGAGAATGTGGAAAAAGCGGCGAACAAAACTTATAAAAATAGTGGTCATTGCGCATAATAAAGTGGGGCGAGTGCCCATAAATATCAAAGATAGTCGAATCGATCCAATTTGAAGATATGTCATTCCATGCCAGTTTCACTGGCCACAACGAAAAATCTGAACGGGGAAAAATAGCAGCTATAGCAACTGCAACGATCTGCAAGTTGTTTATGCGAAACAAATGCAGTCACATAGACGGCCGAACCTTTCATTTCAACTAAATGTACATAGGCAAAATACACACAGAGAGAAAGATATGTACAAATAAACAAGAAACAAAAAAAACATAAACAAGACATATTTTTCTGCAGTTTGTTGCATTTGAAGCAAATTAATGCTTTGCAGCGGTTGGTTGTTAATTTTGATGAATTTGAGCGTTTTTTATGTATCCAAACACGATCTGAAAAAGTCATGGCTAAAACTTAAATGCAACTACTTTGTGCTGTTATTTACCTTGTAGATTGTGACTGCAGTTCCTATTTTTGAATTTGATGTGCGTTTTTCTCTGTCTCAGCAAAAATGCTTAATTTTCAAACCAAATAAAAAAAATTATGCGGCGCTTGTAATTTTCTGCTTTGTGCTGTTCGGGTCTCTACTAATGAATTATACTCTCTTTTTTTTCTTTCTCTTTTATGTCAAATGCACCGCAGTTTTTATTTAGTGAACATTTTATTTTGGCTACTATTTCATTTCGCAAAGCACTCAGACACAGTCGTTATTGATCTTGACACAAAATTATTTCCACTTTCGAATTCAAGTGTGGAAAGCAACAAACAAAAAACTAACGAATAAAATTCACATTCACAGGCGCACACACAGTCACATGAGCACAGAACTATTTTCCTCCTCTCGCTCTCTCTCTCGTCGGCGATTCTAATTTTGACTTTTAAATTAATTTTTCTTGTTTTTATTCTGGCTTAATATGAAATTCCAAAGTCAAGCCGAAAAATAAAAAATCCGCACTAAATCGATAAAACTAAACAAAAAATCACCGCGAAGTATTGGTTTGTTTGGTGTTTCGTCACGGAAAAATGCAGTTTTCTTATTGGGGGAACGGTAGACTTGAAATGAATTAACAGTTTCCAAGATTCAACGACACATCGAAACGCGAGATTCTATTTTTGAAACGAATAAAAATTAACACCATTGAAAAACTCTAATGTCAAAACTAAACACGGCAACTTAACGCAAATGAACAAAATACCAGTGCTGATGTACCGCGATGAATACAAATTAAAATCTGTTTATTTTGTCATTATTCGTCTCGGTAAAATTTTTGAAAATGCGTGTTTTGTTTACACAAAAAATAATGTTTGAACGAGATAGGCGCACTTCAATTTCACCGTCGTAAATACTTCTATCTCGGTGAGTGTGTTTTCTTTATTTTCGTATATGTTGTGTGTACAGCTATATATTATTTTCTTTCATTTCAAAATCCAAAAACGAATTACCAAGCAAATGAAACCGCACCGAAAAAAATGACGTCAACTTAGATATTTTGAATGGTATATTGTGCATAAAACTTTGTCATATGTATGTAATTAAATGAGCGCACGCTTTTTTTCAGTCACACAAAGAATTTCGTTTCAACAGTAACACACGCGTCTGTATGTTGAATGAATTGCGCTGTTTGTGCGTGTAATTTATGCGAATATTGAGTTGTTTTCAAAATGTATATATTTTTTCGTCATAATAGCAAACAAGCGCACACAACCACACCGACTCATTGGTTGAACAGATTTGATATGTGACACAGTAATTGGAATGCTGACTGTTTTGCATTTGAAGAAGCAACTGGTAACCAGACCACCGACTAAAACGGTAGCAGTCAAACTGTTTGCACGAATGTTTTGATTTTATTTGATAATAAACATATTTGAATGTGTGATGTATATTTATTCACTTGCATCACCTTTAAAATTTCTTTTGCACTTTGATTGCAGAACGTGGCACACGAATCTAATCAATGAATAAGTCGAAAACAATTTATCGTGATAAGCTTGGCAGTGCCATACGGCATGCGACGTAAGTTACAAATATGCCAGATTATCGTATTCGCGCGCGCTATAACGGTAATGTACACGACCGATATCCGATAGACTCTCAGCTAAACTGAATTCATAGTGGCCACTACAGCACCGTAGATGCCATCACATTGAGCGCGCTCCCAACACAGCTGAGACATTTAACACAGTACAACACATTGGCTGGCATTTGTGTGTCAGTGAATGAAATTGCGGCATCGGCTACATACGTATCCACATATTTATATCATAACAGCTACACTTCTCCGTTTCCCATTGAACTTGCCCACGCATTACCTCGTGCAGTATAACGTCAATAATACACTGTTTTGCGGTGTCGGCTACAATATTCCCCTTCACAACACGTGAACATATTAAAAACGTTGAATCGCACATAAACAATGCGGAGAAAAATTGAAAGTCGAACATATTTCAATGTAATTCTATCTAAAACGTGCTTTTCGCTCTCTTTCACTCATCTCTCACATTCGCTTCTCATATTAATACTGTTTCACAGATTCTTAACGTTTTTAGATTGCATACGTTACAGGCGCTTTAAATAAAGCAGTTTTGCTGCTACTTCTCATGTAAATACTATCTTTTACAGGTAGTTCTATTGTAGTTTGAAGCTATTTTTCTTGATTTCACATTTTTTTCATTGCTACGAATTTCCGTTTGTGTATTTTCTATTCTAGTGTTCAAGACATGTGATAAGTCCGTGTCGGATTAGATTTTTTTTCGAAGGTATGGAAACAAATGAAATATCGTTCTCAACATAATAAACAAAGAAAATAGTTTTCATATATAAGACAAGAAACTGACTACAAAAGATAGTTTGAACGAAGGATTCTCTTATTTCTCAATTTTCGTGTCACTTGGTGGCAGACATTATATTGAGATATATTCAGCCAGCTGAACGAACCAAGGCAGCTAACTTCTGGAGCTGAAATGGAGTGAAATAGAAGTGATTGTTAGAAAGTTAGTGTAACAATCACTTCTATTGTTGTCGATCCATTTTAGCGCCTGGCGTTAACTGCCTGAGCTGATTCAGCTGGCTAAGTATATCTCAATATGATGTCTGGTCAGTGAACAAATTTCAAACGAAATTTCCTGCCCAAAAAATAGTGATTTCATCTTGTTCTCTTTGTTTTTGTCCCTTTCGAAAGAGTGAATCAATTTTTTTCAAATTCACAGTAATTTACTCAAATTAATTGTCCACATCCACATTTAATGAGAAGGTAAATTACATCCTTTATGGATAATTGATTTCGGACTTGATTTTTTCATTCATTACCTCTCAATATCGGCCGGAATTCGATTTCCATTGTTAATGTGTCCGCCGGTGCAACAACTACACTCGATTGTACACATTCCAGCAAAATGAACAAATTCAATATGTATTGAGTATGGGCGAACAGTGTATCTATTGAAATATTTCAACAATAAAAACAGTAGCTGACAGATGTGTATCAGTATCAAAATCATATTTGGGTGGGGCCTTCCATCAGCCTCGAGGAGAAACATTGCTGGTGATGTAAGCATGAAACGCCAGAGAATACTAAGAAAATGAATGCAATTTTATTATTTAAAATTCCAAGCAAATATTGCATATTCAGACCAGCACTGATGTTTGTGTGGCGACCAAAACATGTGCAATATTGTTGACATGGTTACGGACAACTAACAAAGCAATTCATTTCCAACAATCGACTACAAATTATAATGGAAAATTGCCCAATCCAGAAATTACAAGATAAATAATATGATTTGCATGTAGGTATGGTGTAAATTCAATACGACAATCAAGGAAATTACTTTAACATCATTATTAATTTTCTACAATGATTGCTCACGGCTAAGATTTCAGCATCTTGCAATTTTGTGAAAACGAACATTATCTCATTAAACGATGAAGTTTTGTTTAAAATTATATCGGAAAAGTTTATTTCAAAAGTTTTTAAAAGAAAATGATTGATATCAAATGAACAACTTCTAATTGGATTAAAGAATGATATGATAAGACTTTTTTTCTTCAAGAATTTGTGAATTCATGTTCGGTATGTTGCAGAGATAGAGTAATCCTTCAATTTCAAAGCTCTTTATTTTGCTTTTGTAATCAAATCCGCATTTTTGCGTTGACTGCACTTGAAATTTGATAAAATTGCACAGCAAGCGGCATGAAATGTCAGTGATGTAAAAAAAAGCGGAAGGAAAAAAATCCCAAAAAAAATGGTATATATTGTTTCAACAATCCTTTAGTAACGCATATAGCACATACAGTTGTTTGAAAATTGTTGCAGCTTAAACACTGAAACGTGGTTTTATTGATTTAGCCAAAATGCCAATCATTCGTTTGCAATCCGAATCATACTAGTTTATCGTTGGCAAACATTCATAACGACAAACAATGGGAATATTTGAAATGTAAAATGATTTGGTTCGTTTGAATGTCGGATAGTCCAACGTTGGGCGATGATGTGGTGTTGAATAGTATTTTCCGTGGGCTATTTGTGCAGTTCATCGATTCTCTAGCAATAAAACCAAAAAAAAAACCTCCCGAAAAGCATTGGAAACCCCCATTCACAGTGTACAACCGTACTGTTTGTGTAATAGAATGGAATCTTGCATTGGAATTTCGTACAATTGAATATGTTAAATGAGTTTCGTTTATTGACCTTTGACTCGGCATATTGAACTGTTCGCCATTTGCACACATATGGGCTAACAGCGTGCAAAATGCTCATTAATCGTTGTTTAATAACGTTTTGAGAATTGATGGCGTGAAACGGTTTTCAGCAGAAATATTTCAGTGCAACCGTGAAATCGATATGGAGAAAATACCGCAAAAACGTCAAGCAAAAGTTTTCGGTTTGATTGATTTATCTTTTGGCATTTTGAATTTTTCAGTTCACTATGTAAACGAAGCACCAACCCGAAATTCGTGATATATTGCCATAATATACACATTGACATATACAAAATATGCACACACCTCACATGAAAGTCAACCTCGACTCCTTTTTGCCACTCAATTATCGATGCGATTTTCTGACGAAGTTTTTGCCGTTTGCCATCGCCATTCATAACATTTTGCGTCGCAGCCAGTTAAATCGACTTACAATCCCGAACATATGTTCGATGAATAGAAGGTTTCGGATTATTTGCCGTCGATAAAGCTTTATTTGCTCGCATCCAAACTTTTCGCCATTTTATTTGCTGAGGTTAAAGCATTTAATGAACGGTCAAACACTGAACACTTTGGGTAAGTCTTTTTACGCTCCCAAATTGGCTCGTACAAAAAAAGAAAATCATAAAATCAATCAAATATTTCTTTTCGCCCTTGCTTTTATTCAATTAAAGATGCTGTAGACCGATTTTATAATAATTTTCATTTTTTATGGTTATGACTTCCCGAAATATTTGATTGCTGAAGTTTTTCGAAGGAGCGAAGAGCGCGAGTCAATTGTGATTGATTATTATCTTTGAAATATGATTTTTTCATTATGAAACGAAATGTGAGTGCGGGAACTTTGAAAAGAATTCAAATAAAACGGAGCTCAAATTTGTTGTGAAAGAAATGGCAAACAAAGTTTTGCCGGTACATTGTTAAAAGTTTTATTTATGAATTTATTGTGCTATATTTTATTTAAGGCGACAGGCTCTCTCCCACACTAACTCACACAGACACACACGCATACACATTCTGTCATTCCCAAAAAGTTTGTGCGACACACAAACTGACAAATGGTGGCATATTTACAGCGGAACATCACACATTTGTTGATTTACTTGTGAACAAAAGTTCCAAAATCTACTTTATTGCTGCGAGCAAAAATATCATATGCTACATGTACAGAATGATTTCATGTTTTGTAATCGAATCAGGCACAAGCAAGCATCTAACGGCAATGGAACTCACGACAACACAAATAGATGTAAGTCAATTCAGCTAATTTTTGTGAAACGAGGAAAACAAGTGCGACATTGTGAATGAAATAATCTAATTAGCTTTTCATACGTGTGTCTTGCGTTTGCTTAGCATTTAGACTCTTTTTGTTACTCTATTTACTTGTCGACTTTTATTGTCAAAAGCTAACTTAACTTAGGTGAATGTTTACCGACTTTACAAGGTTCAACATATTTATGAGCATGATTTCCAACTGGGACAATTTCAGTATCCACAAAACAAGAGAGAGAATACCAATAAATTACAAAGAAACCGACGACGAAAACAAAACGTCAGCAGTAAAATGATAACATTGTTTACCGGTTTCATCTTTCCGTTTTTATAACCATGGCCTTCGGTGAGAGATCGCCTCACCTGCCCCAACAATAAGAATTCGTTGACAATGTCTTCTTTTGTAGAAATTAGGCACGATTTTTTGTCGAGTGCTCAAGCGCGTTCATTGTTTTTTGAAGTACGTATTTAAATTGCAACAACAAAACGAAAGACAACAAATGAGTGGTGTCAATTTCACGTAGACATAAAAAGGACTCATTAAAAATCAAAGCAATTGAAAATGATTAAATGTTTGAGTCTACTTCAGTAGGTGTCTTGCTGGAATCGTCGACATTTTTCGATTTTAAGAATCGTAAGGTGTTCCTTGCACAAGAGATGTTGTCCATAATTGGATGAGATACAAATTGTGAAAACAACCGAAAAAATCCAGCGGAGATACTTTGTTCAGTTAACAGTATTCGAAAATGGTGAGAGGATATGTGATATTACGATTCTTTTTCTTTTTGATAGTACGATCCGATATAGGAAACAAGTAACAGTTAATGTTTATGTTTAGTTTTTAACTAATTAACTAGTTGTTTTTCTGTATCACAATCCCTTTTTTTCGCCCTATATATCTGTGGTAATAATTTACATTTAAAAGAAAAATGAATTAAAAACGTTTTTTTTACAGGCAAGAGTTTCGAATTTATTTCATGTAATGTAGCATGTTAATCAATGACAATCAAAAGGTTTTCTTTAATCGTGCTCTCCTTATTTGCTCATATCATCCAGTTTTTTTCGTAGGTTGGAAACTTCTTTTTGCATTTGGGGATTTGCCACGAAATTTTCATAAGATCGATGAAGTGATTCTAGAGGCTTCTGTAGATATGATGGATCACTAAAATTTACTGGGAACATTTTGCCAATTAGGTCACGATCTTTCTGAGTCGTAAATTCAACCACATTTTTATTGGTCATTATATGGAACGCTGTATTAATTAAGAAAACAGCGAAATCAATTTAATAATTGACACAAAAGGAGAAAAAAACTGATTATACTTTATACATACCATCTTGTTGCATTTTATGGAAATTTTCATCCTTGTATTGGTTCTCGAGAGCTGTTTATTACAAAAGACAATAGCAAAATTAGTAATTCAAAAAAAAAATAGCTTGAATATTTTATACATACCATCTTTCATCAATTGCCTTTGCGGAATGTTGTGTGCGTACTTGATTCCTGTAGATTACAAAAAATAATTACAAAACCAATAAATGGAACAAAAAAAAAACTGCAAAAGAATCTAATGGTGAATATTTTATTTCAGCCACCTTCTTCCAAGAGTTTATCCCACTTTTCATCGGTGTATTTGTTCTTGTTTTGTTTTGCCATGGTGGAATAAAAATACAAAAACTGCAAGTAAATGTTTCACAGATCGAATGGAAACTCAATTGAGTCGATGCTATAAGTTAAGCCGCCCGAAACCAAGTAATGGAGAGAAGTAAGTGCGATTCATTTTTATTACCAAGTGAATGAATAATCAGCAAATTTAATAAAAAGTAATATCACACGTTGATTATGCATGTTGTTCAATGTTTATTTGATGCAGAGCGTTGAATCAACATCTAGAATTTTCAGAAACTGTAATTGCAGAAATCGGTTTACGTAGCAACGTAAGATATACATTTATTCGTCAAAATCGCAAAATTTGTTTACCAGAATGACCAGATGATTCAACATCAATGTGATTTACATTATTCTTGATTGAAAATTGATTGTGATAGAAACACAAAGGAAATTTCAAGCATAGAGCACTTAAGGCCTACGAATTTCGATTTACCGAAAACGATTAAGACGACTTGAAAAAATATTTATATAATTGAAGCTTCTCGTCAAAAATAAGACGCCAATTTCGTTCATTTTATTTATTATTTGTTCGCTTCACAAGCACTTCTCGCGTTTGAAAGGCTTTGTTATTTTAACTTAAAAATGTTTAAGCAATCAAATAAATTCGAATGGCTGCAGCCACAATATTTATTGGATTATCTACAGGTGATAAAAGTTGTTTATTTTAATTTTCTAAATCTTTGATGTATCTATAGTCTTGATAATATATTTTTGGTTATGAAGAAACAAATAATAAATGTTGAATATGCACATGCGATGAAATCACAATTAACGAACAACAAGTGGGAGAATATAGTTCATTCTCGATGAAAATAAACAGATTTCGATTAAATTGGGGTCGCATGTCTGGGACGAAAGCCCACGCTCATATTGAAATCGAAATATCTAGAGAAATGTAAATTGATTATGTTTGATTGAATCTGTTGTGCCTTTGAGCTTCAAAGATTTCTATATGTATACCAGTAATGTGCGAGCAAAATTTTCTTCAAAAAACCCTAGGAAATCGAGAAAAATTTCGTTTCGGACGAAAATCCCTAGCAAATCGGAAGAATTTTGAAGTCACAGGGGGGTAAACCCCCCCTCTCCCCCTCCCCTTCGCACATTACTGATGTATATCAAACCAAGTTTGGTCGTCTATTCAATCAAATTTCATTTCAAACTGCGTTATAATTGCCCCTGTCATACTATTTTCGCGTTTGTTACAGATCAAGAGCTTGTTGTTTTTTATTCAAAGCGGTGAAAGCATCACTTCGCACCAGTCAAATCGTCCCCGAAAGGGATCTTTTTTTTTATGCAAATTGAACAATGAATATTAAAATTAATATTAATAGAATGTTATTGGCAATTCTAAGGCAATCTTTGGTGAAATTTTGCGCTCAAAATGTGAGTGCTAATTTGATTGAACTGTGACCGGTCTGCTCGTTCCACAATTTGAAGGGGTTAAAATGGTGATTCGAGTAATTAATCGCACAAAACAGTTAATCGGCAAGTCAATTGACTTTTTGAGGAGCGTGTCCTTGTGCTTTCTCCTTCGTTTGAGAATTGAAGAAACAAAGCAAACTTTGGCAACACTTGGCATAAATGGGAAAAGTTTTTACTTCGCATTTTCCTGCTTTTTTAATTTTTTCTACTTTTTTAACGAGTTTTCACTTATTCGCTTGTTTTCAGCAGCCAAAGAAGGCAAAATCCTCATTTCTTTTCGAAAAAATAAAAGAACCTTATAAAGGTTTCGTGGAAATGTTCACGCAGTCATTTATTTTAAAATATCATTCATTTCTCTCCTGTAAATGAGAAGCACAGTCGGATTCACTTCAATGAAACTGGTCAAAGGAAAAAATAAATGAAATCCAAATGAATAAACGAAACGGGGCATTTTCTTGATGTTTTATGCTATTTTTGCTCTTCATTTCCGTTTGAGCGCTCTGATTTAGTTTCGCCGCAGTGGTTTTTCAACGCCTTCAATGAGCATGAGATGGAGTGAGGGACATTAAATGGTGTCGTCGTGCCATTTATTCAATATGCATGAAATGTGGAGTCCGTTCAACGGTTCAACCGCCACCACCGCAGCTTTTCATGAAAATTAAAAATATATTTACAAGTGCTTATTACCCGCACGCTATAATCATAAGAAATATGAATAGCTACGGCGCTTGTAGTTGATGCGAAAAAAATGGACTTTTTTTGCAATTTCAAAACCATACACAAACATAATATTTCTCACAAAATAAAATCGATGGAAAAGTAAAACTTTTCAACTCTTCAGAAAATAAAATTTTCATTGAGCAGATCTAATTTAATTTGATTCTTTGTAGAAATTGAAATCGGATGCTAATGTGCAATATTTTACATTTTATGTGAAATGCAAAGAAAAAAATTATCCAGAAAGACGCTCTACTTTTATGCAGGCTTTTATCGCATTTCTCTTTTTTATAGATTTTTTTATTCATCTTCTTCTTCAACTTTTGAAGAAAAATATTCTTTCGAGAATCTATGACACGGTTGATGAGCATGAAATATATCAAAATTATGACTTGAAACTTAAAATACAAATATATCAAAATTGATTGAAATGAAAAATCACCAACTTGTTCAAAAGAAAAATGCTCATTTCAAGGACTCAACTATGTACCGTCCATTGCTCGTAGCTGAAGTGATTGGAATTGCTTTAATGGTTTCTCTAGATGTGGTTGGTGAAGGGGGATTGATGGTGAAATTATTCTTTTATTCGACACGGACTTTACAGCAGACAGAACTCTTGAGAAAATTATTTCGATTAGCTAGGGTTTCTTGCCCGAAATTCCGCCCATAATCAATTTTGAGCCCCTTAACTTTACACTAGAAACTATGATTTTAAAAAAAACATCCCTTACAAGTTTGGAGAAATTTTCCTAACTCCTTCCGCCCCTCCCCTATTTTCTTTCATTCTACCCACCTACGCTTGAAATATACAATTTCATAAAATCAAGATAGAATATTATCAAAAGTATCAGAAGTGAAGAGCAGCATCATTTTTATCATTGTAAACATTTCCATTTTTATTTCATTTCTTAACCATTTTTTTCAGAGTTGCGTCAATGCTTTTACAAATTGCGAGCATTAACAATATCTGCATTTATGTCAAAGAAAAGCCCCAAGAACATTCATCACATAGGCGTGTGACATCAATGTTGTCATGGCACTGATGGCAGAGAAAGCAGATGGTGCGAACGATATGGCGAAAGAGCTCAATTATTATATGGATATTTTTGTGTAATGATTTGAAATTGTCAATGGAAACCTCGGTGTTCCCTTCTTTTCATTTGTCCGGTAAAATTTAATTATGCCTGTAGCTTGATGTTCAAATGTTTTGTTCGTGTTCCGGATAAAGTGTAGACTTTTGTCTTCAATTCAATCATGCCCGACTCTGTCAGCTATATTTGAAATTGTTCCAGCTGTTCTTGACGCTATGCCAGCCAGTGTACAAACAAAAGTCGTCTGCATTTGAGTTCCAATGAGAATTGCCTGAAAACATTTATTTGATTATGTTCCACCTGTATCTATTCGTGATATAGCAATGTATTTTTCACAAAACTACACAGGAGTTTGGATGTCAGCAGTGTGATGTTTTGCTTGTGTTCGAAGTGAAACAAGCACCACTTAAAAATTTCACTCGAAGTGATAAAATGCAAAACGAGAGTAAAAATCACCATTTTCGGACTATAACAACGAGATTCACAAATTTGCATGTCTATTTCGTGCGTATATCCCCAAATCGTCAATAGGAATATGGCATGCGGTTGAAGCTTTTCTTTGTTTTACAATGTTTCGAACTCGAAATAGCTAGACGAACGGTGAGGCAACCGTTTCGAAAATGCGTCTGCTTCTCTTGCACTTTTCGTTATTTTAATGGCATTGGAACAACAAGACATCACCATAATACCACATAATTTTTATGGTCCATTGAAATGCACCTGTACAATTCTCTTTATCTTTATTGTTATTGCACGGTTGGTACGGTTGGTCTCTCATCGAAAAATCAAAGACTTGTAATGATGATATTCAAAGTGTTTAATCTATCATTTAATGGTGTAAGTTTATGTTTCTTGCAAATAACAATAATCAGCTTTTCATTTGGGTTTGAGCACAGGAAATGCAGGCATTTTCAGTTTATGGCATTCGCAAATGGTATTCGTTTCAATCGTTTACAAGTGAATAATGGCCCACAATTTCGATGTAGTTGAAAGCATCCTGAATAATCGAAACTTGTAAGCGTGACATTAAATAAGGTCCAATTGCCGTATGGACAAACATATGTTGATTACTTTGTTGATGGATGTGGATACAGACGGGTTGGCATCTCTCTTGCTATTTTCGGTTTTGACACACACTGAAGGCACACGTTATATTGACCACCGTTAAGCCAAGTAATCTCGGACTCATTTCACACAGAATGCACAGAAATTATGGAAATTGAATAGTTGCTATTTAGCCATTTGATGTCGTTGAAATTCTTCCCAAGTAAAAGTTGCAATAAATACAAACTACATAAAAGTGGCTGATTTTTCTACTTTAAAAACTATTTTCAATTAAATTAATGGCATTTTTAATGCATTTCTAGCTACTTAAATTTGAATAATATATTAAATGCTCCTCCAAAAGTGTTGTAATTTACTTCGAAAGAATTTAGACACGAGAACACTTCAAGCCACAATCTGCATTTTGCCACCATAAAAATATATAACCATTAATTAAATCACCAAAGTGTAGGTGAACCCGTGAACAAAGAAAATTATGAACTTATTTTCAAAATGAGAGTGAATTCATCAGCTTAGATGAAAGCACCATTGAAAATTAAAATTGTGAAAACCTGAAGTTATCAGTGATGGTTTTTTCCTATCTGAATAGCGCTAGCTATTCGCAGCGCCTGTACAGCATTGCTGCCCAGATGCTGAATCGTAGCGGTGCCGCACGCGCACACACTTCGTTTGTACCACACAGAGCATATACGTTCGCGTTCTTTCTCTGTTCGACATGCGTTTGTATACTGACTATGGTATTAGTGTATCATACTCTGTTAGCTCACTGGT